AAAAAAAACGCATAAAATTTGCAAAATCTCATCGGTTCTTTATTTGAAACGTTAGATTGGTCCATGACATTTACTTTTTGAAGATAATTTCATTTAAATGTTGACCGCGGCTGCGTCTTAGGTGGTCCATTCGGAAAGTCCAATTTTGGGCAACTTTTTCGAGCATTTCGGCCGGAATAGCCCGAATTTCTTCGGAAATGTTGTCTTCCAAAGCTGGAATAGTTGCTGGCTTATTTCTGTAGACTTTAGACTTGACGTAGCCCCACAAAAAAATAGTCTAAAGGCGTCAAATCGCATGATCTTGGTGGCCAACTTACCGGTCCATTTCTTGAGATGAATTGTTCTCCGAAGTTTTCCCTCAAAATGGCCATAGAATCGCGAGCTGTGTGGCATGTAGCGCCATCTTGTTGAAACCACATGTCAACCAAGTTCAGTTCTTCCATTTTTGGCAACAAAAAGTTTGTTAGCATCGAACGATAGCGATCGCCATTCACCGTAACGTTGCGTCCAACAGCATCTTTGAAAAAAATACGGTCCAATGATTCCACCAGCGTACAAACCACACCAAACAGTGCATTTTTCGGGATGCATGGGCAGTTCTTGAACGGCTTCTGGTTGCTCTTCACTCCAAATGCGGCAATTTTGCTTATTTACGAAGCCATTCAACCAGAAATGAGCCTCATCGCTGAACAAAATTTGTCGATAACGATAAGATTTGCCGAACACTGATTTTGGTAATAAAATTCAATGATTTGCAAGCGTTGCTCGTTAGTAAGTCTATTCATGATGAAATTTCAAAGCATACTGAGCATCTTTCTCTTTGACACCATGTCTGAAATCCCACGTGATCTGTCAAATACTAATGCATGAAAATCCTAACCTCAAAAAAATCACCCGTTATATTTATTAAAATTGTTTATTATTATCGTCTAATCAGGTATGCACTTTTTTGCGCTGTCCTGTTTTTTTTTTGTTTTGAATGCATTCATTGCAAACACACCGCAAAAGTCATAATGAAATGAACTATTGCTTCATAAAAAATAATAATAAAAAAATGCTGATCGGCACTTAGTAAAATTTTGAATTTTACCAGGAAGTAATTACTGCTGCTTTCAACAACCGATAACAGTTTTTGAATGATTTGCATTTGTCAATCGTTTTAAATAGAAATTGTGATCAATTGGTATAAATACAGCAACTTAATTCACTGATAATTACATAGTACACATAGCATATGTAGAACGGTGTTGAGCATTTAGAAATAGAAATTTGAACATGTGCCGTTCTTATCACTTATGTATGTAGCTACATATGTGTATCGGGTAGTCAACGAAATATCTGTGGCAAGCTCTTCACAAATCTTAAATTTGCCAAGCCTACGAGCTTAGATTCCTTACATGAAAATTGTATCTACATGCAAAGTGAGAATGGGAATAAGGAGCGCTCTTCTGTACACTTCCGATAAATGATAAACTCCGGTCCAGTTGAGTGGGTGGAA